GACAATAAAATTTGCCACACTGATAGACTCTTCCTTTCAAAAAAGATTTCTCTGTAACATGCAATACCGTTTGATAGCATTTTACACACAGAACTTCTTTTCACAATTGGAGTCAATCCTCACAAACCCTACCACCGCTTTGTCAACTAAGTTTATATAATATTCTAAATTCTTTGCTGTCATTTCATCAATGTTCACAGCATCTTCAACAGGAGTAGATTCCATCTCAAGAAACTTCTTTGCATTAATTTCTCATCCATTAAACTTTTATCATAAGATTGCAGCAATTCAGTCACATATTCAGGCTCCATTTCGCACTCTAGTTCTCTTGATATTTTTACATCTGTGATTACTTGCTCCACTGAAGTCTTAAACCCTTCAAAGTCATCCATGAGGGCTGGAATCAACTTCTTCCAAACTCCTGATAATGCTGTTATTTTGACCTCCTCCCATAAATCACAAATATTCTGAATGACATCTAGAATGGTGAATCCTTTCCAGAAGCTTTTCAAATTACTTTGCCCAGATCTATCAGAAGAATCACTATCTATAGCACCTATATCTTTACAAGATGTATTTCTTAAACAAGACTTGAGGGACTGGCCAGTTAGCTCAGTTTGTTAGAGCACAGCCTTGTAACACCACGGATGGCCTGTAAAATGGATGTTGTGTTAGTAGGCATGAAAAGAACATTAATCTCCTTGTACATGTCCATCAAACCTCTTGTGTGACCAGATGTGTTGTCAATGAGCTGTACTATTTTGAAAGACATCTTTTTTTCTGAGCAGTAGGTCTCAACAGTGGGCTTAAAATATTCAGTAAACTATGCCACAAACAGATGTGCTGTCATCCAGGCTTTGTTGTTCCATTTATAGAGCATGGGCAGAGTAGATTTAGCATAATTCTTAAGGCCCCAGGATTTTCAGAATGGTAAACGAGCTTTGACTTCAACTTAAAAGTCACAAGCTGCATTAGACCCTAACAAGAGTCAGTCTGTCCTCTGAAGCCAGGCATCGACTTCTCTCTAGCTATGAAAGTCCTCAACGGCATCTTCTTCCAATATCTTGCTGTTTCATCTGCATTGATAATCTGCTTAGTGTAGCCACTTTCATCAATTATCCTAGATAGATTGCCTGGATAACCTGCTGCAGCTTCTACATCAGCACTTGCTGCTTCACCTTGCACTTTTACGTTACGGAGACGGCTTCTTTCCTTAAACCTCATGAACCAACCTCTGCTAGTGTCGGGCTAGGCTAATGTCAGAATCTTGCCAATGTCACGTTCTTTTATCAGCCCATAATCTTTCACTGACTGGGCCAATAGTAGAGCTAGGGCTGGGTCTGGAGCTCACAGACCCCTCAATCCTGTTGTCTAGATTGGGTCACAAACCCTTCACATGCCAGGCTGGGCTACCAGACCTCTTACACACCAGGCTGAGTCCCCAGACCCTTCACACACAGGTCTATGAACTAGGTAACTGGCCAAAAGTCCTTGGAGTCATAGGTCAGAGAGCATGGCCACACTAGCAGACACCCAAGGCACTAGATGCCAACCAAGGTGGCAGTGCCACACATGCACACTAACTCCACACACACACAACTTATTTACAAAGAATGCACTGCACCACCCCCAACTGAACCCAAGGTGAGGGGCCCTGATTAAACTATCCTATTTTCCCAACAGCTAGCTTCAAGCTTTGCTTCTGCAGCTTCCTCACCTCTCCCAGCCTTCCTAGAATTGAAGACATTTAGGGCCTTGCTCTGGATTAGGCTTTGGCTTAAGGGAATGTGTGGCTGGTTTGATCTTCTATCCAGACCAATAAAACTTTCTCCATATCAGCAATAAGGCTGCTTCACTTTCTAATTATTCATGTGTTCACTGGAGAAGCACTTTTTATTTCCTTCAAGAACTTTCCCTTTGTATTTACAATTTGCTGTTTGGCATAAGAGGCATATCTCATCTTTCAACATGCTTTCCTCACTAAGCTTAATCATTTCTAGCTTTTGACTTAAAGTGAGAGACGTGCGACTCTTCCTTTCACTTGTACACTTAGAGGCCGTTGTAGGGTTATTAATTGGCCTAATTTCAATATTGATGTGTCTCAGGAAATAGGGAGACTTGAGGAGGAGAGAGACAGGGGAACATCCAGTCGGTGGAGCAGCCAGAACACACACACACACATTTGTCAGTTAAGTTTGTTGTCAGTTAAGTACATAGGTGCAGTCATGGCGCCCCCAAACAATTACAATAGTAACACCAAAGATCACTGATCACAGATCACCATCACACATATAACAATAACAATAAAGTTTGAAATAGTGCACGAATTACCAAAATCTGAAACAGAGACACAAAGTAAGCACAGTGGTGGAAAAAAAGGCGCCGATGGACCTGCTCAACTCAGGGTTGCCACAATCCTTCAATCTGTAAAAAAACAAAACAAAACAAAACAACCCACAATTATCTGTGAAGTGCAATAAAACGAAGTATGTAGGGCTTCCCAGTTAGCTTAATAGGTTACAGCATGGTGTTGATAACACCCAGGTCAAGGGTTCAGATCCCCAGACTGGCCAGCACACCCCCAACCCCCAACCAAAAAAAAAGAAACATGCCTGTATACACTTTACCCAAGAAGATATACAGAGAGCAATTACAAAGGAGCACAAGAAATCTTTAGAGGTATCATATGCATACTTTATCTAAATTGCGATGATGGTGTTATAGATATATACATGACACTTCCCAAATTAGACTTTAAATATATGGTTTATTGTGTGTCAATTTTTTCTCAATAAAGCTGCTACAAAATGTCCCAATTGAGAATGCCTTCTCCTTCCAGATGGCACCTTGACTACTACTTTTCTTCTTTTCTCCTACATTCAATCAGTAATTAATTCCTAATCATTCTATTTTCCTAATCTCTCTCCCTTACCTGTTGAGAATGCCTTCTCCTTCCAGATGGCACCTTGACTACTACTTTTCTTCTTTTCCCCTACATTCAATCAGTAATTAATTCCTAATCATTCTATTTTCCTAATCTCTCTCCCTTACCTTAACTATTGCTCTAAGCCATCTCTCACTTGTATTATAATAGTGGCTTCACCACTCCAGTTCATTCTCCAACCTGCGGCCAGAATTAACTTTCTAAACCATAAATCTGACAGTGTCACTGATTGCACTGGCGATATATTTCAAGCTCTCTTAAGATGATTCACCAGACCCTTCCTGATCTGCCCTTTCACCCTCCCCAGCTTCCTATCTAGTGACTCCCCACTTCACCCTTTTCTGCTCAGTCATAGTAATCAACCATGTGCCATGCTTATGTAGTTCTGCACATGCTGTTCCGCATTCACATAATCCCCTTCCCTTCTGTCCTACTCCAGCCTACTCATACTAAGGCTTTGGCTCCTCTGGGAAGTCTTTCCAACCCCCATACTGGGCTATTTGCCCTTCTCTCTACTCTTGAGAACCTTCTGTAAACCTTGCCACTAATCTTACTAATACATAATCTCCCTCATCAAACTGAATTGAAGCAGACTAGATCAAAGCTTGAAAGCAGAGACCAAGTCTTGTTCATCTTTACTTTCACAGAAGCTACCACAGTGCCAACCGAGTTCATGCCTGGCTGAAGGTATGACATGCTGAGTATGTGCCACAAAATGGATAAACGAATGAATCAGAACTGAATTGGATGACCTCCTCTTACACCACCTGGGGTGATTTTATGTTCTTCCATTATAAAAAAGTGGTCAGGAGAGAGAGTAGGTGACCTCTTTAGTACATTCTGGTAAAATAATCACTTCAAATCCTCTTGGGGGATCCTACTCTGGCTGGGAGTTTAAGGGCAAGACTCATTACCTCAAATTGTTTTAAAAACCAGCTAGTAATTGTGATTTCAACTAAGGGAAAGGTTAGAGAAAGGGAATCAAATTCCAGAAAAAGACAAGACTGACAGCAAAAATTAATACAGCCTGGAAGAAGGCCTGGTCTCCGCCCAGTAAACTTCTTAATTTCATCCAGAAAGACATAGCTCTCCATCCTCTGGGTATTCTCTTCTCCCAATATACATATTTGGACTTCCAAACCCAGCCAGGGAGGCTCTCAATCTTCCTTGCCCTCAGAAATCAATCTCCAGGCCCTTCTCACCCCCTCGGTCTGTTCCCCCAATCATCCTTAATAACAGTCCTCTGGACCTCCCACTAGACCTTCCTCCTCAGCTGGCCCTGCCAAGAGCCAGGCCAGTGGCCATGAGGTCAAGAGCTAAGTATGAGGGCTGCAGTCACAGAAGACTCCCAGAAGAACAGGCTGGAAGACCCAGCTAGCAACTTAAAAAGGAAAAAGTCAGGATCTACACTTCATGGGTCACAGAAAAGAATAAGCAAGGAAAAACAAAACAAAGCAAAATTCTGTTTAAATAACCACCACAAACTAAGAGAAGACTTTCCTTCTTTCCTACTGATTTGCACCTCAAAAGCATAATTGCTTCACTCCTCCAGATCTCATACTTTAAAAATTAACCTAAGGGCTGCTCTTCCACATCTTGGTCATGACTAACCATTTAACTTAGGGACGAAATTAATGTTAAGACGTAAGAAGTGCTTTAGAGGAAAATAGCCCGTGATTAGGGAAATCCACCATTGTGCATCTTTTCGACCCTTAAATAGAAGGGAAATTAACAAAAATGTTAAGATCCCTTTCCTAGGCCTTTCCTACCCAGGATCACTGTAACCAAACAGCATTATCCCATCTAAACTAAATTGCACCTCAAACACTACCACAAGCTGCTGTAAGCGTTTAAAGCTACAAGTAGCACAGGCCCTAAAATCCCTTGGGTACCCAGACTTGAACTAAAAGACTGCAAAAATGCCACAGGGAATGTCTGGAATATGGTTAACTGGGCAGTGATAGGAGAGGAAGGACCAGGGTTCCAAACATCTCATGGGCAGCCTTGGGGGGTGCAGGAAAGGCCGACCCTTCACGTGAGTGGCCTGACACCTCACCCAGAAGAGGACACGGGGCACTCAACAACGTCTCGTGAACCAACAGCCGGCTGATGGAGCCTTCAGTGGCCGGAAGAAGGGAAGGAGGAAAAGGAGGAGGCGGCGGCGGCCGCGGGAAAGGGGAGGGAGGCGCGGCCGGTGCGCTCTCGGGTTGGAGAACCTTCTTCCTGGACGTGCGCGCTGCAAGGGCCCCTAGTGCCACGTGGGACTGAGAGGAGAGTCACTTACTTGTCCAATCTGAAATTACATTTTAGCTAGCGGGGACCCGCACGTAGCCATTCTGAGCCTCACCGCCACTCGGTAATGCGGTCCCCGCGGCCGGCCGCCCCCCCCCC